AAAAAAAATAAAAAATAAAAAATAAAGATATATATGTTTTTCTGGCTATAAAATGTCTGAAGGGGTCAGAAGACTCTTGTTCACATCTGCGCTAAGAAGAGAAAGTGCAAACCTTTTTAGGTCTGCAGTCTTCAAAAAAAACAAACAGTCTGTAAAGGCTAATGTCTGAATGTGCTCTCCGCAACACAGACAAAAAAAAGCCAAGAAGAATTACAGACAAAAAACAACAATACCTAAGTGTAGTAAGAAACCTGAAAAATACTACTACCTAGCTCTAAACAAAAAAAGAATAACGCATGCCAAAACACACATGCTAAAAAACACCCACTTCAAAATAAATTACGAATGTAACATAAACCATTACAATAATTTTTGAACAAGGGTCAAGTATCGCATTGTTTACTACACATACATAATTACATATTTCGATGACTTCACACGTTAAAATAAGATAAATAACTTCAACGGGTAACAAACTATTGATTTTGTCACATATAGTTTCTTTCCTTTTTTACACACAATATACCATCAAACTTGTTGAAAATGTTCACATTTTACTATTGTGACCGATTGATGTAGGTTATAAGGGTAAAATGTGAACAGTTTCAACAAGTTAGATGATAGTGTATAAAAAATGGACTAAATGTAAATAAAATTTAAAGTTCTTTTGAGAACCAATATTTGCATGAGAACTTGGGATTTTTTTTTTCGTCTAATTTATTAAAACCAACACCACCACACCATCCCTACAATATACATATATACCTACATTATACACATAATACACATATATTCAAGTTTGCATTCAAATACAAATACATATATACCTATTTTATACACGTATACCTATATTATACACATAATACACACATATATTCAAGTTTGCATACAAATACAAATAAAAATACACATATACCTACATTATACGCATATACATACATTCACTATTTACATACAAATACACATATAGATATATACATACATTCACTGCTTACATACCTGTGGTAGCCTTTTTAAGATGGTACTTCGATGGTGAACGAAGGCAAATGGTGGTGGTGTTACTGTGGTTTATTCTTAAATCAAGTTAGCTACACTTATATATATATATATATATATATATATATATATATATATATATAGAGATAGAGAGAGAGAGAGAGAGAGAGAGAGAGAGAGAGAGAGAGAGAAAGAGAGAGAGAGGTTTAGGGGTGGCCGGTGGCACCTTTAATCGGAGAAATGGCTAGAACTATCACTGGTAGCACTAGATCGTTGAAAACAAAAAGAAAGACTGACTTTTAGATAACTTATTTAGGAAGGAGCCATCGTAACTGGACCAATCTCCTCTTCATCATGAAATGGAGAAAAGATGACAGATTGGGGATCTTAACTACGAACACTGATGCGTGTAAATAACTACACCTAATTTTATATTTATAACCTAACTAACTTAACTAACTAAATTGCACCTAGGCAGTGTACCTAGTCAAATTATAGAATAGTCGGGTAAGTCGAGTGTCGATCACAGGGAACGGTTTTGACTAATTAATCTATCTACTTCTAAATTAACCTAATTGCTAACAAAGAAATGGGATTTATCTAATTTTGCAAGTTTAGATGAACTTAATTCTTTAACACAAATTCAATCAATAAACAAAACACTTCTGTTAGTTCGAATCTGCTTTCCCTCAATGGTTTATAAATTAGTTATGACAAGTACTGTTGGTTACCAATTAAGATAGTATTAGCAATTTAGTTCTAAATCTACTAATATTAATTAATTCATATAAATCAAAGTATGTTCACACTTAAGTTAACACAGAATCAATTATGTTATGAATTGGAGCTATGTAAGATTGATTAACAAAACACAATTACGGTCATAATATGAGTTCTCTAGCACAGCCTAATTCAATACTTAACTGCTTAACTAAGACTGGTGATCCTAGCTCTAATAATTTAATGTTCACTAAATTACCAGGTATTCTAATTCATGCAGATTAATAATCATCAACTACATAGAATAAGAAATCAAAGCAATAAAATACTAAATCAAACATGCTAGGTAAAATCAATCAACACAAGTCATAACCAACAAGTACATCAAATCTAAAATATTAAATCCATGAGTTCCAGCTTCATCTAGCTAACATAAGCAGCTAGATTTAGGTGGACATCCTAGCAAACAAGTTAACACAAATCATATTTATAAGCATGTTGAAAAGTACCAAATCTAAAGTCAAATTATGAGCTTCTCTTCTCCTTTGGTGTTGAAATCCTATTCCAGACCTTCTCCTCTTCTGAAAATCGTCTCTAGGAACTTCTTCAATCAGCCAAAATCCTCCAAGTCGTAATGGACAAGGATATATATAGTTATCTCAAAATTTGTGCTTCACATCGTGACTTGATGTTTCACGACGTGACTTGGGAGAAATCCTTATCGGGCAAGGACTTTACTTCGCGTGTACTTATCTTCCAGAATATTCTTGTCACGTCGTGGACTTATGCTTCACGTCGTGAATATAGCAGATTTCGTGGGTTTCTTCTTTTTTTCTTCTCCAAGTCTCCTAAGTTCCATGTTTTATCAATTTTAGTCATTTTCTTCGAAAATGCTTCTATTTGGCTGCAAAATATAATTTAAGCTTATAAGTACCATTATTCTATGCAAATAACCAAATTATTAATAAAAATGTAAATAAATATTGCCTAAAAATATGTATAAATGTGGCAATATCAAACACCTTTAGCGGCGATGCACATGCATTAGCGGCGACACTTGAATTAATTAGGGGGGAAATGTCCGTGGTATTTTTTTTGGGATATTAGCGGCGACACTCATCGCCACTATTTCCTTTTTGCGATTATCAATTGATTTTCAATCATTAGATCGGCGATATTAATCAACGGCGGGGGTTCGTCCAAAAACACTCACACAGATTGTGGTTACCAGACATTAGCAGCGACACAAGCAATAGCGGTGACACTCGAAAGTTTTGCCGATATTGCTTGCATCGCCGGTAATGATTGTATTTCTTGTGGTGGTTATCAATGTATATAGGGATTTTATGCGTCCTTTTAATGTGTTATCTGTCAATTCGGTTTAATCAGGTTTGTTACTTCTAAAATATTAACCGAAAACGAATCGAATAAGGATTTGGGAAATTGACTTTCAGGTTATTTTGTTTGGTTCTTGGTTAAATATGAATAACAAAAATCAACATTTCAAGTGTATTAAGAAACACTGATTTATCCAAAAATAACTTAACAAACAATGTCTAGGTCAGTCGTAGGTCAAAAGTTACGAAAGAAAAACGATGAAAACCATAAATGTGCATTGTATATATATTCATATTGTTGAATATTCAAGTTTAAATATACGCACATTTGTGCATATATGCACGTTACAAAAAAACATCATTTTTTATTCTTATGGTGCGACTAGCTAGATGATGCACTAAGGATGGTATGGCGGTGATATTTTTGTAAAAAATTGACCGGAAAAAAAATCTCTGTTTCTCACACAAACATTGGTTCTAAAAACGTTTAATTTATTCACATTTAATCTTTTTGTTTGTAAATTATATACCATCTAACTCGTTGAAATTGCTCATATTTTATTCTTATAACCAACAGCCGACCATAAAGATAAAATGGAAATAATTTCAATAAATTTATTAATATATGGTGAAAAAAATCTAAATATGAACGAAACCAATTATTAGTTGCCTGAATCATTTCCCAGTTAAAATATACCAAAGCTTTCCTCAAAGCCACTAAATTGTTTTTAATGATCAATGTCCTGAGCTTTAACTAGTAAATACCTTTTCAACGTACACCTTTCTAATATCAATATAACAGCATTATAATAATAACTCAAACCTAGATATAGAAGCTTGTAATATTCATATAAAAATTGGGTAATATTAATATTAATTATACGATTTTGTAGCTTCAAAAGAACTTGGGCAAACTCTGAGCATTATAATTTCTTATATGTTTGATTATAAGTTATTAATATTAATAGTCTCCCTTCTATTTTTGTGAAGAATATATATATATATATAGATATATATATATATATATATATATATATATATATATATATATATATATATATATATGTTATGATCCCACGTCCGCCGAAAGTATTATAAGTTGGTGACTTATAAGTCTAGGTGTCCCCTCCTCCTACAAGCTGCCTTTTGGGAGTGAGTTCTACACTTTGGGCTTATGACATGATGCGGGCCTAGTATGGGATGGGTCCGTATCAATTGGTATCAGAGCCGTCCCCATCTTTCGAGATGCCAACACTTGGAGTGGTGGCCTACGGAGTGGTGGCTTGGACCCGAAAAGAGGGGTGCCAACCGTGACCAACGAGAACGTTGGCTCTTCAAAGCGTGGGGTTATATATATATATATATATATATATATAATATATATATATATATATATATATATATATCTATATATATATATATATATAATAATTAATGTGTTAGTTGAAAAATTATATACCATCAAAAGTTGTGTATAGTAGTTTCCTATGAAGAGAGGATCTGATGGAAGTTTTATAATATAAACTAAATGAAAACGACCAAAATTTTAAACATTTACTCATTATACTATTTGCAATAACTTAATGATATTCGGTTAAAGATACCAAAACACGATGTTGTAGTAGTTTAGGTGGTGTATTTAACCAAGTCAAATTAAAAGGTGCAAAGTCCAAAGATTCAGAACCAGAAATAAGATATATATAAGAAGGTTCCAGGAATCAAGGGTCACGATCATGTGACTTAGACCCATAAGATAAGGAAGAGAAGTAGAAGTAAGAAGCTTTACAGTGAACCCCCTCCCCCCTCTCCCCTCACCCCACCTTCCCACCTCTCAAAAGGGTTTTTGTCATTTAACTTGATAATAAGACACCCAATTCCCCTTACTTTGTGCAAGTCAAAGATCTCACTCTTAGCTTTTAAATTAGTCTTCTGCAAGCAGTTTTTCAAATGGCTCAAGTTTCTCCAAAGAAAGCATCAGCAGAAAGAAGACGAAGGACGAGAAGTGATTCTAATTCAACACTTCAACTTTTTCTCATCGGGGTCATCTTAATTCTCACTCATTTACCACCGTTATCCGCCCACCACCACCATCACCACCACCACCACCACCGGAGTTCAGTATCTTCTAGCCGGAAAGCTATGTTGTTCAAAACACAACCACCAGAGCACAGTGGAGTTGTGTCAGCTCCAATTCAATCACCACTAGGAGCAGCTGGAGAAGAAGGCAATGTGTATGATGAAGATAAAAGAATAATTCATACAGGTCCAAACCCTCTTCATAATTAAATAATTCAAACTTCGATTAGTCCCTCAAAGAGCTTTGCTAATGTTGATTCTTATTTATTTTTATTACTTTTTTGTTTTATTATTTTACCTTCTGAATTAGAATTAATGGTAGCAAAGCTTTTGGCTTTTTCAGCTTGAGCTTACAGTCTAGAATTTGTGAAGAGGGACAGGGTGGGAATTTACTGTTACCGTTAGCTTTTTAGGGTTGAAAGGTCAAAATCTGAATACAATTTGTAATGCATAGTGTACAAGTGAAAAATTCTCTCTTTTAACTTCTTGTTTCCTCTGAATCCCTTCTGGCAAAGAATTTATTGTGTTGGGCATTAAATTCTATGTGCTTACATGTCTGTCATTTAATTTACTGCTTTTACTTTGTGGTTCAGTTTTTTTTAGCCAAAAATAGCATTGACTTGTAGATAATGTGTGTAAAGACACTTTAATCCTTCACATAATCATGGGTTGATTGATACTGTGTGAGGGATAAATTTGGAATTTAAAATATACATTTATCGCCTAGGGTTTTGCCATACTTTTGGCTACTGTCGAAGGGAAAGAAGACTTTTTTGTTCCTAAAACCAATACACTGCCATTTAATTCAGCAGGTGCTTTTTAGGACAAAAAAAAGGAACATGAATTGAAGTCAAATATAGCAAATCCTAAGCCACTTGAATCAAATGAAGATTAGGGTTTATGTATAGGTGTTCTTTTTCTTTCAACTTCACAAATATGATCAAAGATTTGATCCGGTCAATTTTTATTAATACATCTTTTAGTGAGTACTACTTTAGTATTTATATACTTACAAATACAAATTTTGATTTCGGTTAATTACATGAACCCAAAGCAAAATGATGGTGTTGATTTAATTTTCACATGACCCTTATTGTAATTGAAATATCTAGAAGTGTCAAAAACAACTTAGCTTATCATCTAATAAATATAGCTCACGTGTGAAACGTACATTAATATGATATTAGTTTGATCACAAATACACAAAATACAACCAGCGACAACTGACAAGGTCAAAGTGGTCATGCATGAGACAAGTATAATTGAAAAAATGTTTGGATTTGGTAGGACGATATAAGGGGATGAACTATAACAAAATCTGCATAAGTAAGTTAGAATTCTTCAGAGTCGTATAAAGTGCCTTACAAAGTTCGAGAGCGATAGCTCTCACCAAAATCAACGATGGAAAGAATATATCCATCACTAGGTGTGAGACCCGTATGTTATACGGGTTTGATAAAACAAAAAATTAAATATGAAAGTTTAAACAAAAAATTATTTAAATTTGAAATTTTAGAATTGAAATTTAAAATTTAAAATTTAAATTTAAAAGGAAACATATTAAATACTATATGAGTACTAATATTGTAATTTATTGGTTATTTTCAATTAAGACAATTATTAATTGAGTTGTAAATATAATGTGTTAATTAAGAAAAGATAAAAAAATAAGAAAATGACAAATGGAAAAAACATTTATTCAAAAATACCAAAAAATGACATGTGTCCAAGTTAATGAGAGAGTGACATGTGGCAAAATTATTTTCATTTATTAAAGAGGATTAGTGACGGATAAAAGACCAATTTAATTTGTTAATGACGGTCGCCGGTCGCTAGCCCTTCACAAAATTTTTCCTTTCGCTAATCCATCGCTATAGTTAAATGTTTAAAATTAATTTTATTTATAAGTGTGGGTGAGAAAAAAAAATCAAAACCAAAAGATGTAAAAAAGAGAAACAAATCTTTTTGAGAAAAGCGACTTTACTTTTGGTTTTTGCTATTAGAAAACCGGTTTTTTTCGGTTAGTATAAATCTTACAAAACAAACCGAACCTAAGTGAAATAATCAAAATGATATTTGTAATCTATGATGTTAAAAGCTTTTTATATATATATATATATATATATATATATATATATATATATATATATATATATATATAAAAACATTAGTATTTGTCTAGGATTAAATCCAGAAACTCCAGGTTAGAAACTCATTATCAGACTCCTTGTTAGCCGATATAAATATTTTTTTTAGTAAATCACGTTTTTATTCAACTTTATTCCAAGCTTGATTAAGAAACCCAAAAGTAAACATAAAAATAGAAAGGGAGAAATAATTAAACCAAAAAGCAACACAAAAATATCGAATGATTGGTTTTTCCAAAGTAGAAAGCCAAACTTTTTGGGTCGGTAAAAAACCAAATCAAACGGACACATGTAAACCCCTAATTTTTGTACTTTTGAGATAATGATCTGTGAGAGTAATTACCTTTTCGTCTTGTTCACGTTTAGGTAACTTCATTTTTTTTTGTACACATTTGACCATTTAACTTGTTAAATATGTTCACATATTACCACTGTCACCTGCTATAGCAGGTGACAGTGGTAATATGTGAACATATTTAACAAGTTAAATGATCAAATATATACAAAAAAAGAAAGTTGTCTAAACGTGAACAATTTTTTTTTTACAAATTTCTTAAATTTTTTTATAATTTCTTTTATGATATTTTTTCAAAATTTTTTTACAAATTTCTTAAAATTTTTTATAATTTCTCACAACATTTTTTTGATATTTTTTATAGGTTTTGCTAATACAATGTTTTAAACTTTGCTTATAATTTTTTTTTCAACTTTTTTTATACTTTCATATAATTTTAATACAAGTGCTTTTAAACCAAATATTTTAAAATTCTCTTACAAGTTTTTTACTTGATTTTTTTACATTTTCATACAATTTTTCTATAACTTTCATATATATATTTCTAAATTTTCTTTACAATATTTTTAAAGTGTTTCACAGATGTTGTATGACAATTTAATATTTTTTTATATCATTTTAAAATATTTTCGTTAAATACTAGTTTAAAACGTTGTATTAAAAAAATTAAAAGTTTATAAACTTCTAAGTAAAAAACATTAAAAGGTTGGAATAATTTTAAAACATTTACATTATATTGATTTTTTTGTTTTTCTTATTTGGTAAGTAATAGTTTTTTTTTTAATTTTTTAAAAGACCCTCCATACTTATTGTTACATATTTAATTTATTTAATTTTATTCTTAGATGCTATTTACTTTAAAAATATTGTATATGCTTTAAAACAAAAGAAAAAAAATATAAGAGGCTATATAAAACATTTCACAAAACAAAAACATATTTATTAATTAAAAAGTAAAGTTTAAAATTGATAAATATTTAATTAATATTTAGGAAATTATGGATATTTTAAAAATAACGTTTGAAAAAAATAATACAAACAAATATGAAAAATTAAATCGCTATTAAAAGTGGGGAAATGACTTATCAGGGTAATTAACTTTTCATTTTGTTCATATTTAGACAACTTTTTTTTTGTACACATTTAACCATTTAACTTGTTAATTTGTTCACATATTACCACTGTCACCTGCTATAGCCGGTGACAATGTCAATATGTGAACATATATAACAAGTTAAATGCTCAAATGTGTACAAAAATAAAAAAGTTGTCTAATTATAAACAAAACGACAAAAATGGTTACCCTTGTAAGTCATTTTCCCTAATACTTTTCATTGTTAAAAGCTACCAAACATATATAATTTAAATTGGTTATCAATTAAAGAAAAATATATACAAATCTTTGTTAACTTACTTTTATCAATTATTTTATATAATATTCCAATAGTATTATTCTATATATATATATATATATATATATATATATATATATATATTATCATGTAAACACATGCAATCAGCAATTACGAAAATTTGAACCATGTTTAGATTGTCCGGTGGTCATGTTTAGATTGTCCAGGTGATCGTTCATTTCTCAATATAATGGCAAACATCATAAACTTATTACAACAAAATAAGATGAAGAACAAAGTAAAATCAAATAAGATGAACAAACATTGATATACTTAAAAACTCAATTAATATGCTCTTTGTAATTGACAAAATATAGAGTATAAGAAAAGTACCACGTTTGTTGGTGATTTTATATCATCAATATTATTTAAGTGTAATAGGATTAAATTTGTTGACCAAAAGTGATCTTGTTGAATATTGAACAAGTTAGGACGGTGTATGAGTGCACACTTGTTCAAAATTTTCAAAATTCACAGCACACAGTTATTTAGGGGCGAAGCCCCTAAACGAACGGGGGTCCGGGGGAAGTGCCCCTGGGAGCGGGGTCCCAGGGGCGGCAACCCCTGGCGGGGTCCAAGGGGCAGAGCCCCTGGCTGGGATCGAGAATCCAAGCAATATAACCGTTTTGGTCATTTTTCTGGGACATCTTTTAAAGAACATTTCACATACATTCTCTGATTTCGTATCTCTGAATTTCATCCAATTGAGTGTTCGATCTGTACCATCGAAATACTTCGATTTGATAGTGATTCACGATTTTCAGAGAATCCAGGCAATCTGTTCATCCGTTTTTTCTAACAACGATTATAGAAGAACAATCGATAATTGACTTAATTTATGATACATCCTACTAAAACATTCTATATAATGTACATATACGGTACAATGATGTATATTGAGGACAATGACACAATGGTCTTATATATAGTCGAAATGAATGAATCAGTAAAGACTTGAGCATGAATAATAACATGATACATGGTTAAAGAAATTGTTGAGATACATATCAGATGTCGGATTCTTCGTGTTTGCTTATCCACATTCCTTGTTGATGAAGGTTACTTAGCATTTAATATTTCCTTGTTTAGGTTTTAGATTTAACTTACAAGTCTTTTGTATTACCCTATAAATATAAGAGTTTTGTAATTTGATTAATCAATAAAAAAACAATAGTTATTCTCTTCTAAATTTGTTATGGTATCAGACCAAACCTGAGAATAAAACCTAGTTTTGCCCCTTAAACAATGATTGGCAGTGTAACATCCATAAAATTCATGAAAAATTTTAACTTTTAAAACAACCCAAAAATCATCATTGTTTACAAATAGTTTTCAAAACAGGTTTAATATCAGAAT